GGGGGGGGGGAGGTGTATTTATAGTTTTTCAAAAGGCTAAATTAGTAATTACAAAAAGTGTTAAATTTAAAATAAAAAAATAGCCTAAAAAAGGGCTATTTGTGCAAAACAGCCTTTGGGCAACAACCCCTTGGCCCAGCTGACCGTTGCCAATGGTAACAATCATTTAAACAAAATTAGAAACAACTAGCCGTTAACCGGTTTTGGCCAGTCCGGGCTGGGCCGGTTAACCGATTCTACAGTGAATCTCGTTGATCGGATTTGACGGGTCCGATTAACCGGTTGAACGAAGGTGAACGGACCAACCTCCTTAACCCATTAATTCTGCCCATTCGATCCCCTTTATATCGGTTCCGGTTTCAACCAGTCTGGGCCGGTCCGGAAACGGGCTGACCCAGCTCGTTAGACACGAGACGAACAACTTTGCCTGCAAAAGAAGGATCAAGGAATTTAAAGGTGTTGTTTTTTTTCCCTTTAAATAAGTATTGGACGACTTCCAAGGAGCTACAGAATAATAAAAAAAAAACTCAAATTTCTTCAATAATATTATAATTCTGGCTTTGGAAATACATTTATGGTGATGCAGAAAGTGTATATTAAATATTTTAATTTGCAATTGGAGATGGAGAACCAAAGAAGCATGACATAAGAGTAGAACTGCACATGTTGCCAGTAGATGAGATGTCCGTTTAGTTTTCTCTGAGTTTCTTTATTTCACCTTCCCCAAAACATAAATAATTTAATTAAGTACTATCTCCTTGGATCAAGGCATCTGTCGATTATTAATTGTAAAAAATGCTATATTTGTGTTATAAATTTCTAATATCCGAAAATTCCATATTCCTTTCTTCATATAGAGGCTGCAAATAAATTTCAAATAAGATATATCTTTTACAAGTTCATATATATCCAAATAATGGAGAAGTACGAATAATAAAATAAAAGACAAGTCTCGGTAAATGCACGAAGACTTGTTTTTTTATAAGTCAACTTGACAAAACCACTCGTATATGAAAAAGAAAGAACACCTCTTGAGAAGGTTTTCGAAATATTATAATGAAATGATCAGTATTGACTAGAACATAAAAATGTTAAATAAATGTACTTATAATAAACTATTTTCTTCTCCTTAGTTGTTAATTGTCTAATGCTGTGTTTGCAGCTTGCGAGTCTTCTGTTTCTTGTCACTCTAACCCAAAACACGCTTCATCTAATTAAGATGACTTTCCTCACAAGACAATATTATACCTATAATATAATTAAGCAAATTCTTGTAAACAATTAAGCCACTTGCTCCTAAACCTTGAGCTTCTTCCTCCACAAGTAGGTCATTCTATAAAATCATTTAAAGTTCAACTTCTATATATGATTATGTATAAAAAAAATGGTCTACTATCAAATTATCTAAAAGATGATTATAGATATCAATTCATAATATATAATAAAGAAGAAACTAATTTTTTGAAAAATAAAACAGGCAACTTGTTATTTATTGAATTACACCGATAATATAGTCTTTTAACTCTATGATGTATGCAAGTAAAATCCAGTCGTGAAATGCATGAGGTTTTTAGCATGCCACTAAACTAATTTCATAATAATGGTTCTCTTGGGCTCAGAGAGAATCTTTCGGGGAGAAATTTAAAAATAGCCAGATTTACAACTGGTCATTCAAAAATAGCCCAATTTCAAAAGTAATCGAAATTTAGCCACTTTTCATGTAAAGATAAATCTGAGCGAAAACACTGTTCAAAACCCGAAAAATACGCCTGTATATTTTACTGAAGTTCCGGCATAAGTATGTTTGAACCCCAACATATTATACGGGAGTTCCAGGATAACTATGCTGGAACTCCAGCATAATATGTTGGAGT